TCATTGACATAGTGCATTGATGTCGTTTAGAAACATCATGCTGATCCTCACTTCACTCCGACTGAGTAGATAACATACCATCTTATTGTGTCCAAGGGCGGATGGCCTCACTTCAGTCCGACTGAGTAGATAACATACCATCTTATTGTGTCCAAGGGCGGATGGCCACCGAGAGGGTCTAACGACTCCTCTCTCCATCATGCTACAACTCCCTTCAGAGGTCGTTGAGTTCAACACTTCGATGAAAGAGAGAGGAGACCGTGGTGTTATCTGTTTCGTGTGGTATGTCAGCGGAAGAGAATTCAAACTGAAATGAAATCACTGGATGAATTCAAGCTGCAGCTAGTAGCGAAGGAATTGACTTATCGCAAAAGCTTACCAGCCCTAAACTGAAATGAAATGAGTGGATATATACAAGCTGCAGCTAATACCGAAGGCGCCCTCGAAGATGCATTTTCTAAGGGGTCTCAAAACCACTTACTCCCCCCATCCATAGTGCACGATTTGGGTCTCAAAACCACTAACTCCCCCATCCATAGTGCACGATTTCGGGCCTCGCTCCGCTGCTCACCACATGCACAAACGACACAAAGAAACGACCTAGCTCAGTTGCTTTGACACGCAAATGGCATTCAGGAGGTTGTGGGTTCAATTCCCCGCAGCTGTGTGTGGCGTGCTTGGTGTCTGCCAGCCAAGATAGTTGGCTTGCCCTCCCTTTTTGGTCTTGCTAGGGTCCTGGGTTCTCCCGGAGGCCTCCGCCCCTGCCAGTCCTAGCTGGGGGTTAGATCATATGGCCGGTAGACCTTGGTTGCTCCGGCTTGGTAGATGTAGATTTGGGTAGCCCCTGCTTGGTCGATGTAGCCCTGGTTAAGGTAGATGTGGGTAGGTAGTGTAAGGGATACTCGAGAGAAGAATATAGCTCAGTAAAAAAAAAAAAAAAAAAAAAACTGGAAATGAAAGAACTTATTACCCTGCGTATGCCGGATACCCCCTGTAACCTGTTTGAAGGTGTGATGTCAGGCACCGCAACAGTCACAGGTCTGCAGTCATGGAAACGACAAAAGTCCAATTAAGATGCAGGATAGAGGTCGATTGATATCATCGTATCCCCATGAGTGACAGGGTATGAACTACATATTGTATGTCTCAGATCAGACTCAGGGCATGAGGATTTGTTGACTCAGCTCTGACCGTGATTGCGGTCAAATACATTCGTTGGGAGTCATGATTGAGTCATGATTGTGGCCAGATACATGCAACAAAGTGCTAGTGTGAGCACGCTCTGACAATAGGATTTTTTGTCTTGACTAAATGTGTCTCTGATAATCCCGGGTAGATTCAGGAAGGGATACGAAGTCCGATGTGCAGAGGAGTTGTTCGACCTTGTTGGTGGCCATCTGTTCTTTCTCCCCGAGGAGATGTAGAGGCAAAGTGTGAGAAAGAGACAGAGTAGGACGGCGGTCCTTGATCTGGCCTGGCCTGTGATCCCATGTAACACCATGGTACCAGGATTGCAAAATCTCTCTGCGCACTCGCTATTCCTGTTAAATCTCAAATGGCCGGTTTCAGGAGTATTCACTAGGCGTTCAGGTGGTTCTTGGGTCTCTGCTGAACACTGGATTGCTAGTGGCCCTGGGCTTAACACTGGTTTGATGGCAGCTACGCCGGTTCTTGGGTCGGTGGTGAACGCTGGAATTCTAGCGGCCCTGGGCTTAACATTGGTTTGATGGCAGCTACTCTTTCACTGTGAGGACAACTGCCTGATTCACTGAAATAGCTTTCCACTGAGATGGCTGTTCAAGCTGCTGAAAGTGTGAGCTGAAGGCCCAAAGGGCATCTTGATGACCTACTCCAGCAGAAGGGTGGGTCTGATCCTCCTTGGGCGAGGATATTGCTGCATAACTCTTCACTCTGGGATGCTTGTTTTGGCAGCAGATGCGATGGACAAGACTAGAGGCCTCTTCCTTCTTGGAAACGAAGCATGGTTCGGTAGAATAGTCGTCCAGAGTGTGCATGGCCTTCGAGACCTGCCTTGTCCAACGGGACGGCACCTCCGAGCGCACTGCAGGGGGCATACCATCCCCAATGCGGACTCCTCCCTAGGACCGGACTTCCAGCGACTACCCCTTGATATCCATCTTTTTCACTCTTTTCGGCGGTCCTTTAGCCTACCTTACGATGGAGAAGTGGGAGACTGGCCGTGAGAGGATGGAGTGTGCTGCTGTGGTGTCGAGGTTCAGCCTATGTTCTGCACTCACATCATTGCGTCAGGGTTCAATCGACTGATGATCGGAAACAGTTTCTTTATTGCTGCCGCTGCCGCTGCCGCTGCCGCTGCTGCTGCTGTTGGACGTGCGCGTCTTTGCAGGAAATTTTCTTAGTTGGCATGATGCAGTAAGCTGGTTGTGCAGATGGCAGTTGTGGCTGCTGTTGGAAGATGAAGGGATGCCACTAATGGAGTGCCTGATGCTCATTATATGTTGTTTGGTAAGCAAGTTCATCATTCTTTTTGAAGGAGCAGCAGGGGATACCATGCAAATGCCCGCCGACTCTTCTGGATTGGTTCCTTGTTAGGCGGCGCCCCTTTCATTGTTCGCTCACCGTCGTCTTTGCCAGGTTCCTGATGGCATATGTATGGCCCAAGGTCATTCTGATTTGCTGTTCTGAAATAGCATCAAAGTAATCGTGCGGTGTCAGCACTAGAACCTGCTGATGTCAGGACACTGTACTGACAGCAATTTTGGGAATGAATGTACAGTCTTTTCGTGGAGAGTCGAGAGTCTCTCTACGGTTTTCATTGACAACCTACGAGGAGGATTGAAAATAGATGTGTGAAGACGTAACGCAAATCTCTGAAAACTAGTATAGTCCAGTTCCATAAGGATAACGCTTTCCAGGGAATCAGGAGGAGGGTCTTTAAATCAAGCCAAAACATTTAGAAGCCAATCTAGCGACAGACTTGAGAGCCCCTTCTTTGTTAGAGCTCCTGATAACATTTCTGTTATGTTAATAAAAACACTAGAAAAAAAACTTCATAAAAACTATAATTAACCTGTTAAAAAACTAATAAAAAAAACTATAAAAAAAGCTAAAAGGTCCTTGGTTGAAAAGAGTTTAAGAGTTGACTTTTGTTGAGTTCGGCTTAAAGTCAACTCTTAAAAGTCGAAATTTTAGTTTTGAATATACCAGATGCCATTTTGTTGATGTCAACGCTTTTCAACCGATATTGGAATGTGTGTGAGCAACTTGCTCGGCAATATCCTGAAAAGAGGCCTACCTCCTTCCCCTGAATACAACGTATATGGTCATTATATAGCTGTATAAGGGGTATCTTTCAGTCTATATACAGCTATAATGAGCGTACGTTGTATTTGGTGGAAGAAGGTAGAAAGATACCTTGTTGAAGGTTTGACAAGGATGCGTTGATGGGGTGCAGGACTGTTAGTGTTTCTGGCTTTTCTTTTGTTTTTTTATTCTGGGTGTTCTGCTTTCTACAGTCTGTCCTACGAGGCCCCGTTCCACGGTTGGCCCAATGGCAGTGTGATGTCGTTTCTTTTTCTCGTTTTGGGGGACTTTGCCTTTTTTTTGTTTCGTTATCGGGGTGTCGTTTTGGTTAATGGCCGTTCCCTTCCTTTCTGTATCAGTCGGTGGTCCCCACCGAGTTTGTTCTTTTTGTCGTATTCAGTTTGTAGATTCCGAAATAGGCAGGTGTTCCTTCTTCCTTTCGACGGGCCATCAGAGCTGTATGTGACTTGAAGTTGAGAGAGACACGTACTGGTCGAGTGGGGCATGCAAATACAAGTGCACACCACGCTTATGTGGATGAATGGCGAACATGCAAGTGCTAGAAAACACGTCATGAGCTCAGATCCAGCTCCACAGCGCTGTGCTGTGTCTAAGATTGGCCTTGTGTTTTTATTTTTGTGGCTGTGCGTGTGCTCTTTCTGTTTTTGTTTTTGCGGGTGTGTCTTAGTACCATCCAGTCGACATGGGACCGCTCAAAAGTGTCACCCATGTCACATATTACAACGCAGCCCACATAATTACCATCTACCTGTTTGAGGGACTGAGTTGTGCCCAACTTTGGCCGTGTATCTTATTTTTTTTCATGTGGCTTGGCCACCTGAGTTGTGCCCAACTTTGGCCGTGTATTTTAGTGTTTTCATGTGGCTCGGCCATAAGTCAGTCCGGGTACAGGAGGAATGCTGAGTAGAGAGAGGCCAATGGTCTCTAGTCAGGAGGTGGACTTTTTGGTGAGGTGTGTTTTTCTGTCTTTGCTTGGGTGGAAAGGTGGCAGGCGAGGAGGAGATGGACGCAGGAGGGGGAGGAGGACAAGGAAGTGGAGGTGGTGTAAGAGAATGCAGCGGAGGACGAGGAAGTGGCTGAGGAGGAGGGGGTTGGGGGAGCAGGATGGAGAGGAGGTGGGGGAGGAGGAAGAGGAGGTGACGGAGGAGGGGGAGGAGGCGGTGGTGGCTGAGGAGGAGGGTGATGGCGGAGCGGGAGGGACGGTAGGTGGTAGAGAACGGTGGGGAGGAGGGAGAGCAGGAGGGCAAGGAGGAGGATGAGGTGGTGTAGGAACATGATGAGGTGACATGGAGGAGCTGTGTGTCGTGGGTGAATCCAGGGCGGAACATGATGAGTAGGAGCTGTGCGCCAGAGAAGGAGGGGGAGGTAGTGCTGGATGCCTCACATCAGCGCTACTGGCGATGGTGTCGACTCCCTGTCCGCACTCTCAGATTAACCACTTGGTACCGATGTTGACGACAATTGCTATGTGTGCAACAAACAAGTGCCAACTCTTCTATTGCTCCTCGCACTCTCAAAACACGGGAGCGGAAACTTGCCAGGTCTTCTATTGTTCCTCCACTTCCTTGTCCTCCTCCCCCTCCTCCCCCTCCTCCCCCTCCTGCGTCCATCTCCTCCTCGCCTGCCACCTTTCCACCCAAGCAAAGACAGAAAAACACACCTTTACCCAAAAGTCCAGGTTTTGTCGCCCACTTGGCATTCGGGCACTTGGCATTCTTTCTAGTTTCAAATGGCAGTAACTGAAAAAGTCACCGAACTCAAAAAGTCACCTCGTTGCCAGAATGCCAAGTGGACGACAAAACCTCCACAAGTGGAGGAAGAATGGAACAGAACCCCTCAGGCAGTTGGTTGGGTGCACGAGGCTAAGTTTACGAGGGGAAGCAGAAGAGTAGCACAGCAGAGAGCACACGTAGGTATGGAGCGGGTGAAGCAACAGCAAAAATTGACAACTGTGGGGGGTTTATTGTTGATATCAACACAACCTCTGACCCATGCACTGCCGAAGAAAACCACAACCTTATCTTTCACGTAGTTACATACTACCCTCGTTGAAGTCCACAAAAAACGTGGAAAAGCACAGCATAGTGATAATGAACTTCTCACATTCTGATCAACCCGTCCGTGAGGATTGTAGTGAGCTCGGTCTTCCCCCAAGCAAACAGGGATGGTGCTCAATCTTTCCCACAAGAGGCTAAGATCACGAGTTGTGCTGCGATTAGACTTTCTTCCCTTTGTACATCGCGCACGAACTAACCGCTGTTCCCTCGAATTGGAAGTTTGGCCAAATGTCTTTTGACCAAATGGGACATGAAGAAATTGACTGCCAGACTACTGAGCAAGGTTCTGTTCAGTCAGGTGATTTCCTCTGTTATCTTCCCGGCAGGCCTGAGCTCTGCACAGTGCCCTCCACAGTTTGCTTGCCTCGTAGATCCCTGAAAGGAGTATAGGCATGTCTACCAATTCCATCGTATCCTTTGGGTATAGCAGGATTTGAACCTGTGACCATATATAGTTTAAAAGCCCAATGCGCTACCAACTAAGCTATACACCCAGAATCCAAATAGGCAGTATTGAGATCTGCAGGTGTATGTCCGTGTTAATACTCCTCAATTCGGCGCACCAGACTAGCTTGGCTCAGTATGAGGGTATTCTGATCCTCCCATTGCCTTCGCCTGCCCTTCGCTCAGCCCCTGGCCCCCCTGCTGCCCCTCATACTCTAGCTGTTTCCCTGTTTCGCCACTTGCTGGCCATCCCCTATTATTACCCTGTTTTAGCAGTTTCTGGACAGGGGCTGGTACCCTCTTTACTCCTTGACGATTTCGTTGGGGTCTATATGGTGAGTTTAGGGTGTTCTGCTGATTGCGGGACCAGCTTTTCCGTGCTCCTTGGAGTGGTTTTTCGCGTTATGACTCGCCAAATTATGTAAGATGATCCTCATGGGAACTGTCTTCCTGTTGTGGGAGAAGAGTCTTTGCCGGGGCTGGTACCCTCTTTACTCCTTGACGATTTCTTTGGGGGGTTGGGGGGGTGTTCTGCTGAGTGCTGGACCAAAAAGCTTTTTCATGGATCGTTCGAGTGAATGATGTGAAGTTTTTGCGTTACGAGCTCACCAAATCATCGTGTAAGACGATCCTCGTGGGAACGATCTTCCTGTCATGGGAGAAGTGTCCGTGCTGGTCGCTTTGACTGAAATGCGGAAATTAAGAAATTTGTATTGCAAACTGTTTCTTAAAAGCTGGGTACAGTAGGGGACTACCTGAGCTGCCTTGAGGGCTGCTGGGATGGATGACTGTTTGGGGGAATCGGGAGGAGAGCGGGCCATCGTTGGTGGTTATTAACGTCTGACATCTGGTATGCCATGTTAATGCTCCGTCCTTGAACTGCCGCACTGCTGCAAACGACGTCGTCAGCAGCAGGGGTGATCATCTCGATCAGGTCAAAATGGCTTCCAACCAGGTCGTAAAGAATCGCATGAAGAGTGTGAAGAGTATTCAAAAGATTACCAAGGCTATGAAGATGGTTGCTGCATCGAAACTCCGTGGAGTTCAGCAGAGGGCCGAGGACTCGCGTGCGATTTGGCAGCCTTTCAATGAGCTCCTTGGGGATATACCAGATGTCGACGTTGAGAAGAACGTTGTTCTTACAGTGTCGACGGATAGAGGTCTGTGCGGAGGCATCAACTCCACATCTGTGAAGTACTCTCGCGCCCTGCACAAGATAATGACTGCGGACGGCAACAAGACAAGCAAGTATGTTGTCTTGGGAGAGAAAGGGAAGGCGCAGTTGCAGAGAGACTCGAGGCAGTCGATTGCGATGACCATCACAGAGACGACTAAGAATCCGGTTAACTTCACGCAGGTCGCCTCCATTGTTGATCAGATCCTCAAGCAACAGCCGTTTGATGCCTGCCGCATTATTTTTAACCGATTCAACTCCGTCGTGTCTTTCGGACCGACGTGTGCGACTATTCTGTCGTCGGAAGCTCTTCAGAAGGTCCAAAAGGAGGGTGGACCCTTGGACACCTACGAGTTTGAAGGCGTCGACAGTTCGGCGGAGGTTCTGCAGGACTTGACAGAGCTGCAGATGGCTGCTGTGTTATATAATGCGCTCTTGGAGAACTCTTGCAGTGAGCAGGGTGCTAGAATGTCGGCCATGGACAATTCCAGCAGGAATGCGACAGACATGCTGGAGCGCCTCACACTCTCCTACAACAGGTCGCGTCAAGCAACCATCACAACTGAACTTATCGAAATCATTTCTGGCGCAACTGCTTTGGAAGGATAGACGAATGGTCGACGTACCCGTGAGGGTTACCAGGGGGTCGCCATACCGGGGGTCAGCATATCGGTGAGGGGTAGGGGTTTCACTCCTGGAGAGGGTAGAGAACCCTTAGGGCTGGCCATATACAGCAAGGGGCGGGCTGTTGGACTGGCTGTCGGAGTCAATGGATCACCTTCAGCAACTTTTTATTGTTGTTCCTTCCAGCTTTTCTAACTTGGGGGTATGTCTCCCACCTCGATTGATCGGATGACACGAGGACTGTGTGAAAATCTCACAGTGTGATTTTCACACACAATGGATGACACGAAGGCCCGAAGTGTCCTGTTCATCTCTTCGACCAACTTCACAACGGAATGGTGCCGTGAAAATCTCACTGGGTGAATTTTCTTGACAAGCACGGACAGATGCGGAAACAGATGATGTGCCCATGTGCACTTAATTTGCCATTCTGGGACTGGGCACGGATGTACTTCTTTCTCACCGTGCTCCGATGACATGATGACTGCTTTCGCATTTGCCAGTCTGCTCATCTACGTTCTGTACGTATTCTCCGACGGTGCGTAGGGTAGCAAGGGGGCTCATTTGTGGTTTTGCTTGTCTATTTTTGTGTTATTGTGTTACTCGGGAAGTCGGGGTCACTTGTTCGAGGCTCTTTCTGCCTATGTGCATTATCGTCCTGTGATGTTCATTGTTTGTTGGTTGGCGCGCTCTTCTTTATCTGTTCTGTTTGGTTCTGTTTTCTGTTGGTTGGCACGTTCTTCTTTATCTGTTCTGTTTGGTTCCGTTTTCTCTCTCCGTAGTCTTTTCGTTGGATTGGTGAGATCATTCTTTGGTGTGGGTGTTGGACTAGTCGCACGGGAGGATGAGCATGCTTCCTTGGGTTGCGATGGAAGTGCGCCGAGAGATGGTTCTCCGTTGTGGCTGACTGATTTGGTGTGTGAAAGGGTAAGCGTCCATGAGTAGGCTTCGTACAATCTGTGACGGAAGCGCTGATTGCACAATGCTGATGACCACAGTTCATTTTGCCCTCTGCTGGCAGGGGTGCAAGATGAAAGTATTGCGAGCGCTTAGGCATATGTATGGCTTTCTTGGGCCTTGAGTTGAGAGAACCTGTGTGCATCTGCTGATATAGTGGGCTGTGGCAGGGGTGACATGGGCAAGATGCGGAGAGAGAGCCTGTGTCCCTCAGGTGTATGGTGCTTCCGCCGCCTTCAGGTGTGACATGAGTGTGGGTTGCGTAGGCTTGAACAGGAGGTGGGTTCATGCTGTCAGACTCTTATAACCCACCAAGACATGAAAAGTCAAACTTGCCCCTTTGTTGAAGTTCCAGGTGTGGAGCTAGTCGTTTGATTTTGGTGGTGGTTTCTCGTTTTCTGTGAGGTTCCTGTCTATGGAAAAGTAGGGTAGATAAAGTAGCCCTCCTTCTCTGAAATGGCTCTGAAATGGCTTTAACGTGTGAGGGTGCTGTGTGCTTGAGCGGTGAAAAGGCCCAAAAGGGTGCGGTTGGCAGTGGTTGAGTTTTCAGTCTCCACAACTTTTGTTTTACCTAGTTTGTACTTCTTCGTAAAGTCCATAAATCGGCTTTTGCCTACCAATCAGAGCAGAAATGACCATAACGATAAGACCCCAAATGCACCCTCAAACTCTCTCTCTCTCTCTCTCCCTCTCCCTCTCCCTCTCCCTCTCTCTCTCTCTCTCTCTCTCT